TTATTTACATTAGACACGTTATTCAAAACCGACAGCCTGTGTGTTGTTTGCAAAACACTGCCACTGAAATACCACACTCAATTATCAAGCGCCTGCACCCAGAATGCACATGTTCAAATGATATCACTTAGAAACCTGAGCTTGAACACTTTGTTGTGCACAACAATGGAGGCCACTTTTGGAGAGAGAGTTAGAGGAAGAGGTAAATGCAATATACTGTATTTTGTCTTCAGTATACAGTAACTATGTTCATGTCATCTTCACTCTCAGTAAAGTCATTGTGTCTGATACTGTTATGAGTATTGAGAATAAACCTATTTGTGTGTTTCCACATTGCATGTGTTCATTCATAGTCCATATTTACAGCATGCTACAAATGAAAATGCCTAAAACTTTGACTTGAATGTCTTGTTTATTAATCAACTAATGGACAGTGTTTCAATTCAGTTCATGTAAGCCTTACACACACATTCCTCTTTTGAGCGTCTAGTGATTATGGCCTGCATGTCTTTCTGTTCTAACTGAGCTGTCAGCTTCTTAGCAGTTTAGACAAACATCAAATTCATAATGTAGAGACTAGTTGGACAAAATAATGCTTAACAACTGTTCCATTACTGTGTGAACTGTTTTAGGGGTCGACTGTATGAGATATCGTTCTCCCACTTGCTGCTGGGTGCAGGTGAAAGTAGGGCGACAGTTCTGTTCACATCGCTGACATTTGTCACAGGTAAATCTTGCAGGTATGCAACAAACATGACGTTGTCACACAGTGACAAGCTGGACACTGGATTTGCAGACACAGTACAAACCGGAAGTCAGCAAAATAAAGTTATGCAAAGATTACTTGTATTCTCTATAAACGCATATCTGCATGTGAATGCAGAAATAAACGTATCCTCGTCAGCATGGGTGCCGGAAGCAGGGGGACCAAGGGTCGTCACTCGTCAGACTTCTGGGTCTTTTACAGCATTGCCATTATATCCTCGTGTCTTTTATTTTGAAATATGTTCTTTAACTTCCGGTCCACCGGACTGCTTTTCTTCATTCTTCAATACAAAACGGAAAATTGAATGAAGTTGTTATCAAAAACCAAAATCAGACCGTTTTTTTAATTAGGCCTTATTGTTATCCGTTTTTTGATTCAGACAACGGCTTTGGTTTCCCGTTTTTTCGTTTTTGATTTAAAACGAAAAAAGGCTGGTATTTTCGTTGTTTTGGTTCAGACGAAAAATCAAACTAACAAAACGTACAGACTTTTTTTTTATTAGGTTTTCTCGTTATCCGTCTTTTGATTCAGACAACACAAACGGGAAAACAGCTTTGGTTTTCCATTTTTTCGTTTTAAATCAAAAACGAAAAAACGGAAAAAGGCTGGTATTTCCGTTTTTTGGCTTTTGGTTTAAACGAAAAATCAAACTGACAAAACGTACACGGACCTATTCGGACTAACTTTTTTAACTAAAAAGCGAGCTGCTTTATGTTTCCGTTAGCTTTCCTGCTGCTCACCTCCCTCAGGCGACTTTTGTACCATGCTTTGTCGAAGCCTTGGTTCCTGTCTGGAGACTTGTCAGCCCTGAAGCTCCAGAGCCCGCTCAGCTCCTTCACCTCCCTGGAGGAAGACTCCCGGGGGAAGAGCATGCCGGTGTCCAGCAGACATGCCGCTTCGAACAGAGCAAACAGGCACAGGACACGGAACAGCCCGGGCCTTTCAGGTGAGAGCATCCTGTGCAAGTCTGCTAATTCTGCCCACTCGGAAAGTAGCTCCGCAGGTTTCCTTTGCTTACTCAGTCACATGATTTGGGTTTTTGTAATCACGTGACAGGAGAGTAGCTTTATCTTGCTGCTTTCGCTTACTGTCGGAAATTGCTTAATGAAGAGGTGAGCAGAACATTAGCCATCATTTTGTCGTCCTACTCCACCAAATGAAAACCCCTGGCTTGTTAATCGAAAAAATCCACAACACGAGGAAATGAATACTTTATTCTAAATTAACATTATATTCTCAGCACTGGTTACGGAAGCAATGTTGAATAGATGACCCTAGATGGCGCCATACACTTGCTCATCAAAGCCAACAAGAGTGCAACCGAGCACAGAAGCATCATTTACCTCTTGTAAAAGTGTCCAATAGGCCTGGAGATGTGTCAGGGTCATTCTATTGTATCAATCTTAAATTCTGCATTTAAAATGTTTGGGAGGTTTGAATTCAGAAAAATAATATATTTGGAAATGTATGCATCCATTCATAAGTATAAGGTGCAACATTTTCAAGGTTAGACTGAAGTACTCAAAGGTATTCAGATAAAATCAGACTACTGTTTTTTTAATCAAATGGATAACATGATTTATAACAAATATTCCATGTCATGTGTAGTCATCAACTAACTACATTTCCAAATAATCTGACCCAACCCTGTTTTTTTTCTCAAGTGAGCTGTGAGAATGCTTCACTGGAATTTGGGGAGTAGATATTTCAGCTGAGTCAGAAGGTGTATCCTACAGCAAAATTATTAAAATTGTCCACCTCCTCAACCATGTAATACTAACCAGTTTACCTCTACCAATTTATAAAGCAGTGGTTGATGTTTTGTGTCCACAACAGGTTCAGTTCTCTATCAGTTGCAGGTTGTAATATAACATTTATAAGACCCTGGTGGCCCTGGGGTGTCAGGCTCTGACCATGAACTGCTGCTCCACTCTAGAGGTCCGTCTGCTTGTCATTCATTGTTGCCTGTAATTTCCCATCCGTCTGTCCCCTTTCTGTAAACTATCTGCAATCAGAATGCTAAGAAAGGTATACAAAAAATCTATAAAAAATCTCTATTCAATTATAGCACTTGTAGTCATACACATGTTGTTGGGGGAGACAAATGTGAAGCAATGTCTTAGTTTTGTCATGTCTTAGTGACCCAAAAGGAAATGAATTGGGAGTGATTTATAACTATTCTGGTCATGTAAAGGTATTTAAAGAGAATTGTGATGCATGATCTTAAAGTGCACATTTGTGGAGCAATTATTAGCTCAAGAACGTATTTCTGCAGATCTTTAGGGCAAGATAAGGTCACAGAAACTGAACAGTTGTGTTGGAGTTTTTGACTTCCTACTGAAATATATTTTGACGTGAGGAAAATGCTATAAAAACATCATGCAACACTGTTACCGGCAGTAAGTCTATTTATGTCAGTTTTTTACTATTTCCTAATAACCTGTATGTTGAAATGAAGTTTTACAAGTATCTGTAGTCTCACTGAATGGACCCGAACATGCCTAAACCACTTTTGGTCTACTCTACATCATGAGACATTGGCAATCCAGGTATGTTTATAAGCCCTGATTGCACCAAATGGACATATTCCCACGTAACTTCTAAATCCCAGAGGGAGTGATTCCACAGACTCTTGCAGATTGAAAGGTGCAATACTTTCTTTGTATTTCTTTGTTTTTACTTATATACACTGAACAAAAATATAAATGCAACACTTTTGTTTTTGCTCCCATTTTTCATGAGATGAACTCAAAGATCTAAAACATTTTCTATATACACAAAATAACCATTTATCTCAAATGTTGTTCACAAATCTGAACAAATCTGTGATAGTGAGCACGTCTCCTTTGGCGAGATAATCCATCCCACCTCACAGGTGTGGCATATCAAGATGCTGATTAGACAGCATGATTATTGCACAGGTGTGCCTTAGGCTGGCCACAATAAAAGGCTACTCTAAAAATGTTCAGTTTTATCACACAGCACAATGCCACAGATGTCGCAAGTTTTGAGGGAGCGTGACCTATCGCTAAGCCACGCCCCTTTGAAAACTCGGACAAACAAAGCCGACCGTGAATGACTGTTGACCAGTGGCGAGCCGTCAGGGCCCTCTAGGCCCTCTCTGAGGGCCTAAGATATTCTAAAAAATAATATTTAAAAACATTTAAAAAATATATTATTTTTTTTAAATATATATTTTTTAAATATTATTTTTGTTATATTTTTACCGAAACAACTTGATTTAATTGTATTTAAAATAAAATGTCCAAAGAAATAAATCCTTCGAATCTGCCTGTTCAGTTTCTGTTTGAATGTGAAGGGTTACATGAAAAAAGCTCGTCTGGCCCTCTATGCGATTCACAGAGGGCCCGCTATAGTAAAACAACGAGAGAGTAATGTCAAGTGACAGTACAATTGACCAATCATATCTTCCCTCTAAATGGGAGGGCTTTATTATCGCGGACTTTATGACAAGTTCCGCCCGCTGCGCTGCCAAGTTTATGCATGTGATATATCAACGGGTCAAGCTAGGCGGAATTAGCATACGTTCATTCACGATGGCTCACGTTAGTGATAGTGATGACATCGTTGCGAAACTACTAACCGAGTCTTTTTCAAGAATGAGTTACACGGATAAATTGGAGTTAATTACCAAAGGGCGACCAACACCACAGCTTAATTTGGTTCAAAAAACCAAACGGTTCGAGAGGCATTTTAATATCGGCAATTACGCCAGATACAACTGGATGACCGGATCAACCAGGGAACAAAAGCTGTACTGCTGGGATTGCTTGCTTTTTGGAGCGGACAGTGGGTCATGGGCCAGAGATGGATATTCTGATTTAGGAAGTTTATCCAAATCAGCACATCGCCATCAGAATGCTTCAGGTCACCTCAGAGCTACTATTCGGCTTAAAACATTTGGGGACACCAGGATAGAGCTCCAGCTGGATGAGCAACAACGCCGGGGTGTCATCCTTCATAATGAAAAGGTGAAGAGGAACAGAGGAATTTTGAAACGCCTGATAAATTGTGTGGTGTACTTGGGCAAGCAGGAGTTGCCGTTCCGAGGTCACGATGAGAGTGTAACTTCATCAAACAAGGGGACTTACATAGAGTTGCTGGATTTAGTGGCAGAATATGACAGCGACCTGCACACCTCGCCACATCAACAGTATTTACCGGCACATCTTCAAGGATTCAGAATGACCTGATCAGCGCTGTCGCTAGTGTAATGACGGATAGCATGAAAGAGGAGCTGAGGAAGGCACCTTTTGTTGCGGTCATGTTGGATGAAACGACAGACATTAGCAACGTGGCGCAGATGTCATATGTGCTTCGATATGTCACTGACGATGGGATAAAAGAGCGTGTCTTCAAGTACGAAGATGTGACAGAGGACAAACGAGCAGAGGCCATAGCTACACGGCTGCTGGAGTTCCTGAGGGAGAGTGGCTGTATTGACAAAGTGGTCGCGCAGTGCTACGATGGAGCAGCTGTTATGGCCTCTGGATTGAATGGGGTGCAAGCGAAAGTTAAGGAAACAATTCCACAGGCCCTTTTCATTCACTGCTATGCTCACATCTTAAATCTCGTTTTGTCAAATGGAGCTTCCAAGATAAGAGAGTGTAAGGTCTTCTTCTCCCACCTCTCTGGCTTGGCCACTTTTTTCAGCCGCTCAGCAAAGCGCACCAAGCTACTGGATGATATTTGCCAGCATAGGCTTCCACGGGCAGCTCCTACTCGCTGGTGCTTTCATTCTTGCTTGGTGTGCACAGTGGCAGATAAGACCAGGGAATTGAGAGAGGTAAGATAATAATAACAATGAACGTAATGGAAATATTAACAATAATAAATAAATGATTTAGTGTTGGAAACTACCCACTCATAAAAACATGAAGGTAAAGAACTATGCTAGTATTACATTAAATGAAAAGCTAATCTTAGTGTTTACTGGAGGTCTATAAGTTGTTTTTTCTAAACTAAGCATTACTCTCGTAGGTGTTCGAGCACATCGTAGACCATCACACAGAGTTTGATGACGAAACTGTTCATTGCTCTGATGGATACATCACCCTCCTTACCAGCTTCGATTTCAGCTTTTGGTTGAAAACCTTCCACGCTATCTTCTCCTACTCGGATGTTGTTTTTGAAATACTTCAGAACAAAGGTTTTGATATGCAGTTCTGCCTGGCGAGAGTGGATCAGCTACAGCGACAAATTGAACAGGAGAAGGGGAACTTTGACAGCGTCTACGATGAAACCCAGGCTTTGGTTGGTCCTCCGCGCGGCCGTGGAGCTCAAGGAGACGTTCGTGCACGGTACAGGGAGCTCCACTGCAGCGTAATTGACAGCCTGCTAACCCAGATTTCCAACCGCTTCAGTGACCACAAAAAGCTGGAATTCCTGGCCCTTCTGGACCCGCAACAGTTCGGGCATTACTGTAACTATTTCCCAACTGCTGCCTTGAACAGTTTGATGGAGAGCTATGGCGGATATTTCGACCAGCCTCGACTGCACACGGAACTCGCCGTGATGTACGGCATGTCTGACATTTTGGGGAAAAGCCCAGCCGACATTCATCAGTTTCTCCTCAAAAAAGGACTGAGTGAAAGCATGAAACAGGTGTACACCCTCTCATGCATCATCCTGACAATACCTGTATCCACTGCCTCTGTGGAGAGGTCCTTCTCTGCGCTGAAGCGCATAAAAAGCTACTCGAGGTCCACGACTGGGCAAGTCCGACTGTCAGACTTGGCCTTAATTTCGATCGAGAAGGAATTGCTGATTGCTTTAAAAGCAAAGGATCACCTGCATGACGACGCCATCAAGTTCTTCATCCAAAAAGACAGGAGGATGGACTTTGTGTTTAGGTGATTTGATCATCAAAGGTAAGTCAAAGTGATTTTCAATGTGGGCCGCCGTGCCGACTTAATTCATTTGTAATTGTTACTTGGCTGTGGGTGCCCTGTCATGATAGGTGTTTATATAAATGGTGTTGTTTTGTGTGGTAGAGGGTCGCTGTCATTGATGCGTTTTGCACCCCGGGCCGCTGTTTTGATATTCCGCTGAAGTATACTATAGGCTGTGACGTAAAAACGTTTTCTTTTTTTTTTTCGAGGGAAGAGGGGGGTGGGGTCAGAGGGCCTAGGTAGAAAAGTCACGGCTCGCCACTGCTGTTGACAATGACCGCGGGGGGAGTTCAAGTTCAATTGTCAGATTTACCACAGCAGGTAAAGAAAATAAACCATTAGAATCGAGGCCAAATGCTACCACTCGCAACTGAAAAGTGAGAAACCCCACAGGCTCTGTATCAATGTTGCTGATGACAACACCATCATGGAGCAGTGTTGTTCGTGTATTGCAGGGTAAGTCATTTCTAACACATTATTACCTTAGACCAGTGGTTCCCAAACTTTTTGTGCCCAAGGCACACCAAATGACAAGTAAAAATCTCAAGGCACACCTATTGTGCAAAATAGCCCTTATAACACGTGTTATCACTCATATCATGTAAAATATCTGTAAATGTGCATAATTATTTACTAATGCCAAATAAAATCTGACAAAGACAACTATATTACTCATGAAATATTTATTAACGAAATATTTCAGAAATTAATTTGAAACTTTATCAAATTAGGCTTCATCAAAGCAGCGACACACTCATTTAAACCAGACAGGTCACAACATTAAAAATGAGGCAAAGGAAACTCAGCAGAAATTCAGCACAGAGAACTGTCAATGCAAGGAAGCGGCATTGTCCATGGTCCTGAACTACAAATTATAAATGTAACATTTCAGCAATCAGCATTGAAACATTTGCTATTGTAAATATTTTGCCGATTTACAAATTAGTGAGATACATGTGCATGTCGGGCGCCCAGATTTTTGTAATCCTTGGTGGCACTGAGGAGAGGGCCACTCGCAAGTCCTGTTCAACAGAGAGCCGTGACCTCCTGTTGTTCTTCATGTAAACCAGAGTAGAGAACGCCAACTCCAGAGATGGGGTTGTTACTAAAAAAAAATGTAATATATTACATATTACTTTAAAAAAAGTAATATATTACACTACTTCGTTACTATCTACATAAAGTAACTCGTTACTTTACACGTTGCTTTACTCGCCGAGCACGTACGAACTGCGCATGCGTGAGTGGCAATAACTTTCCTTACCAGCAGGCGGTGGTAGTGTGTATTTGTCATTCAAAACAGGCAACAACCGGAAGACAGAGAAGAAGAACAGGCTACGTGATATAAACAAACAACAAATAGCGTGTGCGGTAGCTTCACCTTAGCATGTGTTATTTGCAGGTGTGTGTTGAGGTTTGACGTGGTGTTTACAGCAGTGGATAACAGCTTCTGGCCTGGACAGTTTGCACCTCACCGTCACATTCCTGTCTATTCTTCGGACGAACTCAAAATAATGGGCATACCTCCACCCCTCGAAAGTTATCGCTGACTCAGCCATGTTTATGCAGCACTGCACGTGGAGATGTGGACGCACAAGTCGCGCAGATTACGTACATATAAACCTACAAAGTACTGATATAGTAAATAAAAAAATTATTATTTTTGTGTAGTTGTATATTGCAATAATAAAGTATGGTTGTCACAAAATCCCACGGCACACCCGGACTTGCCTCACGGCACACCAGTGTGCCGCGGCACACCGTTTGGGAACCACTGCCTTAGACCTCCATGGTGATGCAAGCATTAGCTATAGATAACGTTAGCTAGCTAGCTACTCTCAAGCATTACTTACAGTTGATTTGATTGAAGATTACAAGAACTATGACGATAATCCATGATTACTACTATTGCTGATATTTTAGTTTAGGCTGGTGGTCCAACGCGGTAAACGAGCTCTCTCACTCACCCGGTATACTGAGTGGGTGGGGCAGGGCTAAAGTCAGGCAGACATTGGATTTGCATATGTCAAAGCCACTGTGTAGGCCAGTAGCTAGACCCGACAGCTGTGTCATTTATGTAACGTTAGTGACAGGCAGGCTACATTAAAGTAGGTTGCACCAGGTTCAATGAGTAGCCTAGTCCCACTGCACTGGGGAGCTATATACAAGTAGCAGCTAGTACGAGCAGTGTTCTCAAACAGTAGCCTATTTCTTTTCTCCCCTTCTCATTGCTGTTGAAACCATAGGGAACCAGGTTACTGTTCGCACATCATTGGGCTCATGTACAGTTTAGACATTTCTCGTGCCCAAAATGAAGACACTGCCTCCTGTACAAGTCGGCCACAGCAGTGGCATACACCCAGAGGGAAGAAGGTAGCAGGCCAGCCTATATCCTCTGCAGCGGTGGCAAAAGCCAAACTGAACCGCAAACGGAAACCAGTGATCCCCACCTACACTCCTAACAGGTAGTTTCAAAGCACAATAAAAACACAGATACATTTGGTAATAAAGGCAAAATGGTGCTCCTTCACAGTTTATTGAAAACAAATGTTTGCACCGTCATGCAGTTTGATGTGAAAGAATAATAGCCTTGGCACAACATCAGATACATTTCTACAGTGAATAGTTAATACTATGCATAACACAGTTAACAGTAACATGTATCTTTCTGCCTTTAGGAGTCAGGAATCTGTGGAAATATATGAGACACTGAGAGGAATGAGAGGCACACCTATAAGCTACATCGTTAACCAGACCCCTATACAGGTAGCAGTAGGTGGAAAGGACTACCCCATTGGTTGTGGCTTGAGCTATCAGGTAATGGTATTCTTGAGGATGCAAGGCTGGAAGTTAGACAGCATACTCACAACATACCAGATCTGGTTGATGTTTCTCAACCTTATGTTAGGGATCCTCTCTGACACCATTTTAAATTTCTTTATCTTTGATATAGCACGTTCAACATGTATCCTGTGTGCAGCCACTTTTTTTGTCAGGCAGACATCTGTAGAGGGCATCTGCCTTTTTCCTCTGACGAAGGGTGGGATGTTTATTTCAAGTCCAATTTCGTGTAGGTCATTTTCAATTAAAAATCCTTTATCTACCATAAGCCCATCCCCTTCCTGCAGATAGGGTTCAAGCAGATTTTTCTGCTTGAGTTGAACAAAATATTACAGAACCTCGTGGATCACATGCTATGAGGGATTTCAATGTGTTTGCAGACTTGTAGGTTGAGTAGCTTTGGCTCTGCAATACAAGTGAAGTTGGGGTTTGAATTTTTAACTCTGTACAGTCTAATATTGCCATCGTTGTAGGAAATTCCTCTCTGTACTTTCCTGGCATTTGTGCCATTATTATGTCTCTATGAGGCCATGCGGGTAGTTCCCCTAGAATTGTGAACATGTAGTCCACCCATGCGTTGAACAAAGTACCAACACTACGTTCATCAATCATAAATGCCAAATCTTTTAAATCATGATTTTGTCTCAGTTTCATAAGAACAAGCAAGAGCTGCACACGCAGGGGCATTGTGTTAATTTGCCAATCAGTTCTGCTATATGTCAATGGGACTGAAGTTTGCTGTGCTGTTTCACTGCTAGGTATACTAAACACAGTACATAGATTGTTGAATTGATCATAAGTGAATCCAGTGGCATATTTGAAATAGGCTGGTACATGGCTGTGCTGCAAGACCTCTGGTGTTAATCTATTTGGTACATGATTATGTCTCAGAACAGTATTTATACTCGTCAGTGATTCGATTTGTGCTTGTTGATTTCTCAATCTTTCATCTCGCTCCTCTTGTCCACCTTCCATTGGGGGAGGCTGCTCCACAGGCCGGCGCTCCTCATCTGGAGGCTCCTCCACACCCTGACCTTCTTATGGCGCATTTCCACTGCAGCGGGTAGCCCCGTTTAAGCGTCCTTAACCGTCCTCAAGCGGCCAGGCCAGTTTTTGGTGGCCTTTCCATATAGCCTAGTACCGGCTAGCGGGTACTTTTTCCCTCTTTTTCCGGCCCCATAAAATCGTGGTTCTATCAGACCAGGGCCAGGGCTGAACTAGTGACGTCAACACTCTCGACTGCTGATTGGTCAGAGAGAATCGTCACAAGATCGCGCGCGAGTTCATCCCTAGCGTCGCATATATATCTAGAAGCAAGCTTGCAGCATTTTTATAAACAGCATTTTGTAAACGGAGGAGCTACAAAAATGGCTACGTCTAATAAGAAAAGCACACCGTGGTCGACCGAGGAGGTGACGACGTTCCTTCATCTCATTGGGGATGATAAAATCCAGCGGGAGCTCGACGGAACAACTCGGAATGTGAAGCCGATCGCCCCGCCTACACTGCGTTGCTACCCCAGGTCCTAAACTGTAATGGAAATGCGCCACGGCCTCGGACGGCCAGCGAGGCAGCCCGAGGCCTGAGCGAGGACGCTTAGGGACGCTTAAACGGGGCTACCCCGTTGCAGTGGAAATGCGCCATTAGAGAAGAGAGAAAAAAACACAAAAAGCTGAGTATTAGCTAAGCATAGACAGATAATAATAATAGTTCATTTATGGAGCATCTTTCATACATAAAATGCAGCTCAAAGTGGATTTTATTGACAACAAACATAACAACATTGACAGATCAACATTTGTATTTGCCTTGTCAGGGATAAAACGAAAAGTCCAGGACTTATTTCCATCGTTGTCCCTGTTGTTACTGGTTTCAAGTGGCACTATGGCATCTGAAGTGCATCGAGCATTCTTAGTGCATAATCTAAAGTGCATGTAGTAGTATTCATGTTTCAGTTTTTTTTTATTATAAAAAAAGCATCATTCATGCTCATTGGTGCATTAAAAACAATTATTTTCATCAACAAAGTGCATAGAGACATTACTCATCGTTCACCAGAGGTTCAACACATAATACCGTCTCACCAACATTACAGTGGCAGGTTGCTGAACAGCTGCTCCCTTATCCTTGATTTGAACACTGCAGCACTCTCGGTTTCCTTAATATTGAGTGGTAGTTTGTTCCACTCCACTGCACCTCTATATCTAAATGACATTTGACCTACAGTATCTTCCTGTTGTGTTTAAGGGGACTACATTTCTCAGGCTTCCTCTTGTGTTGTGTGTGTGTGCAATCATTTCAAGGTGGTTGTT